GTGAGCACACACACACTCACACACACACACACACACACACACACACACACACACACTGACGAATGCACACAATCCTTACAACCTGACCCTTACCTTCATTGTTGCCCTGCAGAGTAATCGGAGCGATGAGTAACTATGAGGAGTTCCGGAAAGTGTTCAGCTGCCCTGAGTCGTCGATAATGAACCGAGGTGCACAGTCCTGTCGGGTGTGGTGACCTTCGACCTCAGCTTGACTCCGAAACCAGGCGAGAGCTGTCGGCAGGACATCTGTTGAAAAAGGCTGATAATGCTTGGGCTTAGCCGACATAGTTTACATGTTGAGGGGACAGTGAATGAATCGTTCTCACCGAAAATAGCACACCCTGACATAAACATGTAAGGGTAAGAGCCATTTTTAATAGACTTTTGTATAGTGTTTCTGCAACAACAACGTTTTTCCACAGGTATATTTACTCCATGTGTTGCAGTTACGGCATAAATTACAACTCAAACTGTTTGTTTGGACCATCATTTCTGGATTTTATGTGTCTATGTGTACTGTGAGTGTGACATGAAGCTAGAACATTTCATATGGGAATAAAAAAAATCTATATATTAAAGTAAAGGTAGAATGATTAGATTTGTTATTTTTTTGTTTTTTTTACAGGAACCTATATATCAAATGTTACGTAACTGTCAGGTCAGTATCTGTAGGCTATATTATATTAATTAGCAGCAAATTCCCCAACACCCTAAACCAAAGATTAATTTAATTATTTTTTGTTTGAGCATAAATATGAGCAAAAAATGCAAATCAGAATACAAAAATACAGTTAAGCCTTCAAGTTAGATATTGTATCTCATAGTAAGGCTTAAAACCTTTTCATCCCTTATAATTGTGAAAACTCGTATCTTAATATTAAACATGCAGAGCAGCTCGACAAGTAAAATATCAACCTGACTTAATATGAGGTTTGAGTTAGACTACCTGTGTATCTTTTGTGTATTGTGTGTACGGTGTGGGCTCTCCTTTGATAAATCCTGTCTTGGTTTTCGTCCCACTTTGTTTCAGTCTTTCAGACATTTATATTCATTCTCCTGCAGTTCAGCCCGAGGCAAATGAACTCACAGAATTACAAGCACTCAAACTACAAGATGCACTCTCTCCATTTGTCTTTCTGTCTCCTTTACTGAACGGCACTGCTGAGGCGCACTCACACATCAGCTTGTCTGTAGCATTTGAAGTCTCTCTGGAATGAAGGGAGCATTTTACACAGCAGATTTCAGAAAATGTGAAGGATATTCTTTATCCTTTGAAGTATTTTTTTTTATCACGGGTAATCATTAAAACATAACTGCACTCCTGAACCCAATGTTCAGGTTTTGCTTTATAGATTAAAATCACTGTCACCAGAAAATTTCATTTAACCTGTCTTTTTTTCCACATTTATCTGACAAACTATTCTTATTTTGAGTTTTGAAGCACTCTCACTCTCACACTAACTGTTCCTCGTGTCTCAATCGGTCCTATGCATTCCTGAACAGTTGCAACACCTTTTATAAATTCAGACTTATCTTTCAGTGAAGATCACATCACTAAATAAAAAGAGTTAAAATACAAAGGGTTGTACTATACAAACCAGCTTTTAGTTAAAGCAACATTATGTTAGAACTGGTATTTTTTGCAACTTAATTTGCTTAGACGACCAAACATCCACAAAAGTGCAACAACACAGTCCATAGCGAGCCAGGTAATAGTTACTAGTCCAACAGTAAAAAGGCAGACTCAGCGTCTGTCTTGCAGCTTTTTATTTCACAAAGCTCTTGCCAATGGCTTAAAGCCAGTCCGAGATTTACTCTTGTCCGTTGGTTGGGTCTCTCTCTTTTTAGCTTCCTCTGTCAACGTCCCCTTTGGGCTCTTTGCCTCTGCCACGATGTCGACGCTGAGCCTGGTTACGTTGCCCGCTCACTGGTTCTGGTTCTGGTGCCCATTTTGGTACAGCTCCCTAGCAATAACTGAAATCTTTACTAGCTAAGACATTTCTTAAGTTTTTATGGCACCTGATTTAATATATCACCAGTTTTGAGACAAGCTAGTTAGCAAGAATTAAGGAATCCTATGAGCACAAACTTAGTAATGGCTTTGCCGATACCCAGTGGTAACATTTGATCCTGAAGTGTTAATGAGGGCAGCACTTTCAAATCTACTGTATACAATGGTAATGCGAGAATTTCTGTGAAAACTTGATAGAAGATTAATCTGTTTTCAGTAAAATTAAGATTAATAATAACCAATGAGGAAAATAAACATCAAATCAAGCTTTTTTTTCACACTATGCATCATTTTCCAGGTTCCTAAACATGTTTCATGTGTTACCGACAAAATAGGCTCCCACTTAGGGTTATTTGTATTATTGATTGATCGATTATTTGTACAATTAATCTTTTAGTCTCAAAATGGCCATCATAATTTCCTAAAGCCCAATGTGATGTCTTCAGATGTCTTGTTCTGTCCGACCAAATGTTTAAAGCCCAAACATATTCAGTTTACAGCAATGTAAAACAGTGAAACACAGCAAATTATCACATTTCAATTGAAATAACCATATTTAAAAACAAATGTAGGTTCTTTATTTGCATTTTATTATCAGCAAGTGCTTGATATTGAATATTTTTGTAACTGAATGGGATGAATTATTGCTTTTCCGTTGTTATTTTAAATATTTCTATGTTGTGATTATGGTACACTGTGTTGCTGTTTTTGGTTGTGCTTCTTTCTATCGGGTTCTAATAAAACTCTGAGACATTACACCCTTCCTTCACCTTATAACTTTTCTGTGATTGATAGGATGAGATGGAAAGTGTGTGTGTTTGTGTGTGTGAGAGAGAGAGAGGAGCGGTGCGAGGTGGCAGTCAGTGGATGGAGGGTGCTGATGGATGGAGGACAAAAGACATAAAGAGATTGGGATTGCATCTGAAAGCATGTCCATTTATTGATTTTCCTCCAGACCTGCTATTATACACACACACACACACACACACACACAAACACATCATCATATCTCATTCATTCATGTCAGCAGTTCCCATGGCAACTTATTCTATGTTCTTACAGGAGGCTCTTTTGAACCTGTCACTGTGTATGTGTGTGTCTTTGCGTGTGTCTTACATTGCCAGGCAGGGGGTAACATTAATGACTTGTATCTGTGGCAACACCAGCGGCAGTCTCATCAATACACACCAATTAGAAAAACAGTCCAGAGCCCCAGTCTATAATGGTATTGGAGGGGACGGGAGGGGGGGTTGGGGTGATTAAGAAAAAGTGAGAGAGAGAGAGTAAGTGATAATGAGCAGAGATCTCCTTTTACTAGATGTGTAAGCAACATCATGGATAAAAGCCTCTGGCAGCCACTTTTACACTGACATTCATTATCAATGGCAGATTCGACCACTGATGTGCCTGCATAAAAATAGGCCGTTCACTTTTCTGCTTGCTTTCTCTCACTGTCACTCTGCTAGCCTCACCCTGCCCCTTCTACCAATCACACTAAACATTTGAGTCTCAATGAACACTTTTACTTTTGTCGTTGACGTATTTAAAGGTCCAGTGTGTAATATTTAGGAGCATATCCTGGCAGAAATGCAATATATTATTCACAGTAGAGGTCTGCAACTCCATTGGACCCAACGAGTTGATCTGGACTGGTCTCGGGTCTTTTTTTTTTAATCATTAGACCGGGCTCAGGTCTGACTCGGGCGCATTTAACTTTGCTCCTTTCATTGCCCCTATAGTGTGTGTATGTGTGTGTGTGTGTGTGTGTGTGTCTTTTTATCAGTCAGAGCGAGCATCAAAGAGAGCTTTTTAATTTCTCTCTTTTCATTGCACCCATAATCTGTGTGTTTATGCATGAATCAGAGAGAGTGCACACCCCTCTTTCAACTGTGTCCATAGTGTGGACCAGGGAGGGCCTAATTGGTGTCTTTCTCAGGCCGGGTCGGTGTCGGGCTGAAAAACTGCAGACTGTCGGGGTAGGCATTTTTTCATTAGTATAAAATACTAAAAATCACCTGAAAATAAGACTTATTGTGTTTTAAGTTGCCTTAGAATGAGTCGTTTTTACCTACAGTGGCAGCAGGTCTTCTTTCATGGAGGTTGCCATGATGAACCACCATGTTTCTATAGCAGCCCGAATGGATAAATTCAAACACCGACTATTTGGCTTTTCATGTTTTTCAAGTTCTCAAGTTTTTGCAGCTGCCATAGTTTTTCCAAACGCTCAGAAGGCTTAACTGTATTCTAATGGCTGGAATCTGCAACTTCCAATTACAACGCAATCCACGATCGGTTACACTAAAATCAACATATAGCAGGCATTGCATCTGTAAAAAAAACATACAGGAATAATCCAAGAAGCAGTAATTTACAAGAATCAATGAATCAAAGGCTCTTTGTTGCTGAGCCAGAATAATGACATGTCCTTAAAGTTGGCATTGAAGCTTTAAACCGAGGCCCCTGTAGTCAGCACTGCTGATCAGAGACTAACATGAGAATCTGTCCCTGCAGCTACCTCGATGCTCTGTGTTGGTACAGCATTTAATAATGAGTCTCCTGCCTGAATTTGTGCCATTCATTGAATTGTGATAAATCTACTTTAGTGGTTTGTGTAAAAATGACAGCTAAGGTGATTAAACCACTGATTTGTCGCCTGGACCCAATCCCTGTTAAACAAAGCCACACCAATCTGCACACTTTAGTAAATCAAGTCACAGAAGGGCAAAGATAGACCCCAACGATCACTAAATAAAAAGTTGCGGATGCAGTTTGTGGTGATGGGGTCAACTATTTTAGAGGATTTTCTTCTTCGTGCATTTGATTTTTATCTTCCCTGCTTCTTAAAATTCCATGAAGTCAGAAATGGATTTCAGTGCATGTTTGCTTAAACACAGCTGTATACAACATGCTATTCTACAGGGTACTGAGCATGATATAAACCTTATACAGGTGGAGTTTACTGATGTGTTTGAAGGTTACAGAAACTTCACTTTCTCCCAGTCTTTGTGTTTATTTCCATCCCTTTTATTACTTCTGGTATTAATTTCCTGTTTGTCTCCTTTATTGAGTTCAGATTGATATCAGACTGTTAGATTATGTTGTATTTGCAGTTTTTTTAATGTATTTTGGACCTTGGAAACTGCATGTGCGACCTCCGTGACAAAGCACAGACATGCTCTGTTTGATGTCATTATACGATCTGGGACTCCCTTTAGCTAAACATTTGCCCTGATGAAGATCTGCTGACCAAAACCGTGGCTTTATTATTACATACTTGCATTGGACCTAAGTCCAGAGGCGTCTTTATTGCCATACCTGAATAGGTTTTTAATAAAAATGTCATTCATTTTCCATAAAGTATCAACATTTTGTCACTGACTCACCCTTCACTCAGAGGTTTTCAACAGGGGTGGCCTTAAACCCTCTGTCCATCATTTTGACAATATCTAATGTAGTAATACATTTTAATTGTAATTTTTTAGTGATAAGCCCATTTAATAGTAATAGAGTAATAGTTAAAAACATTGAATTACTTAACGTAGATAGCCCTCAGTGTTAATCCGTTACAATGACGTACGCACTCAAGATTTTTCTGTCAAAATTTTGTCAATGATGGAAAATATTCATGACCACTGGTGTACACAATGCAACCCTGTGGGAGCCAATTTCTACCATCTATGGCCGAATTGTGACAGATACACTGTACAGTATGAGATGATAGCAGCACTGGTAATATTGGATTTTCAACATTGTACATCAATCTGGTTCAGTAACTTAATTTACAAAGTATTTTTTCACTGGATAATGGTTATTTTATCTTTCAAACTAATTTAAAGAAAGATGATTTTTTTTAGCCATAGGATGTAGCCCCCCCTGCACACACACACACACACTTATATGAACACTGCAGATTTGTCAAACCAAGCAGCAAGTGGCTGGCGAGTGGATGTCAGTTTGCAGCAACATCAGCTCAAAAGGCAGCAGCTATTTCTGCCATCAGAGGTTCAAACATAGACCGATGCCCAGACCCAAAAACACCTTGTCTTCTGTGTCTTCCAAGTTCTCCTTATATGGAGGTGATGACAAAGGTGAATGATTCCCAGAAACACATCAGATAAAACTTGCTGTGAAAGAAGCCCAACACACACACACACACAAACACACATACATACATAAACAACAGCCTGTATCTGCTGGGTTCGACAGTCCAGTCATGCAGTTATGTTTCTGTCCAATAGAGGGCAGGGAAAACATGCCTTCAGGGCCTTTTTGAGGTGGTGTACAGATTACAGATGGGCCCAGTAATCACACAGATTAAATTTTGCTTTCTGTGAGTTGAAAATGGCTCTTCTCAGATATCTGACCTTTAAGCAAATCGGGTTTTCCTCAGGCACTGCTGAAGTCATCGGACCTCTCCCGGTTTTCTTTATCAAGCTTGTGGCACTCAGCTGCCTCACTCTTTATCTTTTTCTGTCTCCTTCTCCTGCGATTGTGTAGAGAAGCAGAGTGAGCACGTGATACGCTTTTTATCTGCATCCGTCTGCATCTATCTTCTCTGTTTCTGGCCTGTAACTGTAATCAAATCTTCGAGTCTCCAAGAGGCCATGAAGACGACTTTCCTGTATTTCTCATCTCATGCCCCTCCGACCTCCCTCTTCCATCACCCACCCCAGTTACAGCATCCTTCCTGGCCTCATGAGCTAATGTCCAAATGACATTTAGAAATTATGAATGCCGCTGACCACTGAGATGATGCAGAGACTAGATGGACAGAAATAGCAGAGAGGACAATAAAGATGAATAAATGGATAGATAGAAGCAGATGCCAAGATTGGAAACTGTAGAACTGGGGACGCTCAAATTGTGCATGAGTTATTTTTGTACTGAACAGACACGACTTTGTTTTATAGACACAGGAAGACCTTCGAAGTAGGAGATTTTGAAAAGTAAATTGCAAAAATGTGCAAGCAGCAATTTGATAATGATGTTGTATGATGAGAAAATAAGGTGATGTTAATGAATGTATTCCATTTCCTTTAACACAAGTCATACCAACAACTTCTGTTTTGTAAGTCTTCAGGTCTAGTGAGTGTAAATTCAGGATAGAAAAACCCGATCAGACCTTTTTTTCTATAGTAACCAAATGTTTTGTTGTTGCTTAACTTGAAAGCTGCTCTAATATGTTTTATATTTTAACAATGGATGAAATGAGTGTGTAAAAGGGTTGCTCCGTGTTCAAAATATGTCTTCAGTTGCCTACAGCTCTATGAAGTATTTTAGAGTCTTTCAGCTCATTGTTTTGGTTTAACTGATTTGGGTCACTCTCACTGCTCTTAGTTTTCAGATGCAGCACTAAAATCCCACTGCATGCTCGTGACGGGGCGGTCAACAGACAAAAATGTAAGCAACTAGCTGGTGATCATAATAGAATATGTAACAGCTAAACAACCAGTTACACTAATAACATTTCCCTCAGGAGAAGGTGGAGACCAAAAGATGAGCAATAAGAGAGTGAATAGATTGAACTTACATTCATTGGGTTGCAAGAAAGACGACTTCAAATGAACGCTAATGTTGCTCTCTGTTTCATAACCCATTTCTGATATAAACTTGCTACAGAGAAAATATATCACTGATGTGTTTGCAACGTGTTCTGCTGCCCCCAAGTGGCCAAAAATAATGAATGCAGGTTTAACTCTAATCTTGAAAAACAAGAAAAACAAAAAAGGGTAAAAGTGGAATAATTTCAATCCTCAAGTTAGAATGCTAAGCTGATTTTGATAATTTTTACATTGATTTATATTAATTAGTATTTTGTGTGTGTACGTGTTGATAACGGTGAATGTAAGAAATTAAATATCAGCTATATTCAGACCATTGTGACGAGCAGTATTCAGATTTAATGCTTCTGTCTGAAAGGTGGATATTGCAACTTATTTGGGCTCTATTATTGTACCATTTATTTAAAGACCTTTCATGAAGACAGAAGTTTTAATGTGAGTAGTTAATTGCAGTAATTAGCATTTTAATAAATACTTTAAATACTTTTTCTGACTAACTCCATCCATCACATTATGACTCTTCTGGGCTGGAGTGTAAAAATTCCTCTAATCGGACAGATTTGCTGCATTTGAACTTCACTCAGCCGTTGTAACACCTACACTCAAAACTGACCTCATTTCAGTTAGAGGAGCTGTGAGTCAGGGCCTGTTTAAGTGGTTTTCATAAATTTTACTCTGATTTCAGTTATAAACTTTTGGATTATATGTTTCCATATCTGGAACGGAATTTCTGTCTAGGAGGTTTGGATGAAATTAAGTTTTCAAGTTTTTCTCAGCTTTCACCCTCAGAAGGTGCTGCAACCATATCTGCTCACCATAACTGTGGATAGATGGGTAAATAAATAATACAGAAGGAGGGGGAAATAGAAATGAAAGGACAGACTCTTTATTAATGGATAGCCTCCACCAAAACAGATGGATTGGGGGATGGGAGGGGTGGAAGACAAGGAGGGTGGGCGAGTTCGGAGGAGTATGAGCTAAAAGAAATAAGAGAAGCCTTATTCATGAATATCTGACTCCATTCTCCATATAGCTCTCTTTAATTATGGATAGAGGATGTCATGCAGATGGACAAACATGAGTCCAATGTGGAGTCCAAATATGGACGCACACAGAATGACAGCCTGTCCAAAGTTACAATCATAAGAGGTGCTCTCCTTTTTGCTGCCTATACTATTTCCCTCATCTGTCCATCTTGTATGCTTGTGTGTGTGTGTGTGTATGTGTGTGTGTAAGTGTAGTTGTTGTCTGCAGTTCTCAACCCCTGGAGGATTTCCCCTCTTTTTTCGCCCTCCTTCGACTCTGTAGGTGCAGAAAATAGCCTGGCACGCTTTCAAAGGACTCCATTCATTCTCTCCACCTTCTTCTTTCTATCCCACACACACACACACACATGCGCACACTATTTTGATTTCTATAAATCCTTTAGCGGCACTAATTAGTACTTTTGTTATCAGAAACTGCCCCGAGCCCCTTATATCTCTGCAGTCTTTCATTTTCTATTCTGCTGTTCCCTCCTCCCCAGGGAGACACTTACTCATTCATTCCTTCAGTGCTCGTCTCTCACTGGACTGGTAATGGGGATTAAAGGCTAATTGAGGCTTAATTGAATAATGGATTAGAACATGCATAAGCACATGCACCCATGTTTTTATTTTTAGTTGTTATCTAACTTTATCTAGGAGGCATTCGACATTGGCGTATTGTTTTCCTCAGCATGCTGATTAACCCACAATTGAATGTTTAAACCTTGGTTAAACAGTTGTGGGTCAAGTGCTTTAGTAGTTATTGGGAGCATCACTAAGTCCCTGCAGGACTTCGTGGGCTTTTTTGGGGGGGATTGTTGCGGCCTAACATGCCTGATTTCATGGCATCTTCTGTTAAAAAATGCAATCCATGTTATGATAGTTTTTGGCATTTTTTTTCAATGAAATTGCAGCAGAAACTGAACATTGCACAGTGGTTATAATAGTTGCATTTTTTTTTTTTTGAATTCCTAAAAAATCTGAGGCAACTTGTTCCAGTGAGAATGAAATTGCACTGCATTTGCATCACACGTCTGCACGATCTTCATCTTCACAACTGGAAACAAGGAATTGAGTTTGGTGACGTATGGCTCAACGTTTTGCATAAGAAACTACAGTCAAATTTGTGGTGAATGGGCAAAATTGCAAGGGCTGCACATAACTCATGGGGATTGGTTGACTTTAAGTTAAATGTTACGATCGCCACTTCCTGGAGGGACTGGTTATTTTTTCCATTCTTTGAGATGTCTGTTGCTTGGACTGAATATTAATGGGGTTCTTTGAAGTGATGAGTGACGTTTTTTGTCCATTTAACATCTCTCCTGTAAAATATAAAGCTGCACATGCTCTCAGTAATAATATATTTTGCCAGTTTATTTCAAGTTTCAAGTTTGAAGTTTATTTTCAGCAAAGTGTGTGTGTATTTGCCAGTAGGAAAGTCTGACGTTCAGTACTTCCATCTTGGCTGAATAAAAACATCACAGTAGTATATTATTACCAGAAAATATAAAATTCTGTGCAGACCTGGAAGAGAAAAAGCAAAGGGAAGTGGACGTCTTGCTGCTGAACAGGATAATCAAATTATCTTTATTGAATAAATGAATTATATTGGCTGATTTCCAATGCATAAATGACACAAAACCAGATTTGTGTGTCATGTTGACATTTATGCGTCTAACATCCCTTATCCAGCAGATTCAAGTGACATGGACATTTTTCCACCAAAACAAATGCAAATTATTTACCTGGTAGCCTTTGGATGGGTTGATGGTCCTCGCAGGCAAAACAGATGGACAAAGAAATACGTCCTAATACGCAATCGTGTTATCTTAGGATCTAATCTTTTAAGAGCCATGTATGCCAAAGGCCCACCAGTTTAAAAGTTACAACGCTTTAGTTGTGAGACATTTTCTGTCTTATGAATCCGAGCATCAAGCAGAGGGAGATAAGACAACGTTTTTTTTTTCTGTTTTTAATCCAAACAGCCTTTAATTTGTGATATCTGGGGAGAGGACGGAGCCATTAGTTGGTCCCATGCAGACAGACTAAAAGCTGTGTGGCTATTTGATTTCATGGGTCTCAATACAAAGACAGACAGACAGACAGTCAGACAGACAGACAGACAGACAGTGAGAGAGACAGTAAGACAGACAGACAGTCAGACAGATGGACAGACAGACAGACAGACAGACATGTTCTTGTCTGTGTTTTAGACGGAGCAGAAGTCTGGATGGAGATCGACCAATCAGACAGAAGGGGAGGAGGTAAGGAATCAATAACATTTAATAATAATAACATTTAACTTCTACATTGATGAATAAAACCTTTAAGAATAGAATCTGAGAAAGAACTGGGAAGGAATTTGAATCTATTGATCTGTGTGATACATTTTTGGATGTGGAGGACAGTTTGTTCTGGGAAGGTTAGTGATACTCTTTAACTTTGATTGCCAGGTCTCGTTCCCGTGGTAACACAAGCAGTGGCAGCGAATCAGAGAAGATGACGAGTAACGGTGAGCGACGCAGGCAAAGACCAAAGAACCGGTAATAAAATTATTAATCTCTCCATCTCTGTAATGTTCTTCAATGTATTATAGTCATTGTAATAGTCTCTCTCTCTGTCTGTCTCTCTCTGTTTCTCTCTCTCTCTCTCTCTCTCCCCCCCCCAACTGGTCAAGGCAGATGACCACCCACCTAGAGCCGAAGGGTCTGTC